GGGGGGGCAGCATAAATAACACTGGAGGCAGATTGCAGCTTCTGAATCTCATGGTTCAGCTGGGACTACTAAGGCAGGCAGAACATTTCATCCCTTAGGGCTGGAAGAGCCTGGAGGTCGGGACAAGCTGGAGGGGGGAGGCTTGGGGTTGGAGGAAGAACTGGAGGGAAGGAAGAGGTTCGGTGGAAGGGGGATCCCCGGGGAGCTGGGCCTGAAAGGTGGAGGGTCTGGGTCAGGTGGAGAGGGGCGGGCTGGGTGAGGCGATGCCTCTGGGGCTGGGGTGGGAGCACTTGTGTGCACACACATGCCGAAGGCACTTATATGTTCCTCTTCCTGCCTGGGAGGGAGGACCAGATGGTGGAAGGAAGGGCCCTCCAGTCCCTGACGGGCTTTGAATCTGTTCCCACTCATTGTGTGACCCTGACCTCTCTGAGCCTCCATTTCCTCAACTGAAACCGGGATAACACCAGCCCTTTACACCAGGGCTGTGAGGCCTTTACATCAAATGAGCTCTGAGCCCGGAAGAGTCCTCTCCCCAAGCACCCTGAGGGCCGGTGGGAAGGGGTATGTGCAGGCTGCCCCTCGTGGAAGGACGGTCACAGCACAGCCTTCTCAGGAGGCAGGTGACGATGACAATTACGGCTACAGAGTGGCAAGTGCATACAAGGTGCCAGGCTCCCTGTGTCAGCTTCCCTGGGGTCACCCCCTTCTTCCAGGAGGGGAAGCCCAGCTCACCCCCTTGGGTTTTAGTGGCAGTCAGTGCTCTTCTCGTCCCCCATTAGGCCTCCAAAGGGCTCTTTATACCTACTGATGACTGTCAGGCTCTGGGCTTTCCCTCCCAGGGAAGGAAGGGATTTAGGGTGTGGGGTGCAGAGGAGGCAATAGGAGGGGGTAGAGGGCGATGCCCTCCCTAGACCCCAGAAACAGTGCTGAGGGGCTCCCTGTCCCTGACCCCAGGCCTCTCTCTGTCTGGCTTAGCACTGGGAACCCACAGGGTGGGAGCAAGGAGTAAGGAATGCATGGGTCAGGCCTGAACCAAGAGTGCCCATATCCAAGAGCTGGTGGAGGGACATGTGTCCGGGAGGGGGTGGGGAGCAGCTCTTGCCAACTCACGCTGGCTCCTACCAGCTTGAGAAAGCCAACTGTGCACATCTCTTCCTAATTCCAAGTTCAGTGCTGTCAAGTTAATAGCTGGAAATCGGCCATGATGGGAGTATTTACACCATGGAAGTCAACAGAAGCTAAAATCAGAGCTTTTTTTTCAACCCAGAGAGCCAGTTACTAAACATTATCAAGACACCATTGATTAGAGGAAGGGGGATATCAGCTTGACAGCATAGACCATATACTGGCAGAGTTCACAGTCCACCTATGCTGATAGGGAAACTGAGTCTCAGAGAGGAGCAGGGACTACTCAGGGTCACACAGCAAGCTAGCACACAGCTGAGTCCAGACCTCAAAACTTTTGCCTCCTAGGCCGTGGCTCTTTTTATTACAGATGGGCCATCTTGAAAGGCCATCTCCATGGGGTTCAGGTCCAGTGTGCTCTGGGTGCCAGGGAGGTGAGTCTGCAGAGCTATCTCTGGATTGCTGCTTAGTTCACTGTCCTAACTCCCTCCATTCTGCACACACCCCAGTCCCACGCTGTCCCAGACTCTGGACATGGGGCCCCTGAGATGTGTGAGCCACGGTCCCTCCCTCCTAGGACAGCTTCTTCATATATAGATGGTTACAATATGGGGAGAGTAGCAGCAGGAAGCACAGAGGAGGGCAGGCTGTAGGGAATGGGGGACAGGTGGGGGGTCATGGAAGAAACTGAAGGTGGGCAGGTGGCATCCAGTGAAGGAGAGGTGGGCTAGCACAGGCAGAGACTGAACGGGAGGGAGCTGAGCTCAGCATGATCTGATGCAGCCTGGGGGTGTGGGGGTAATGGGAGGGCAGGAGGAACCAGGAGTCTGGCCCCCAATGGCTTAAATGCTGAGTTTGAGGGGAGAGAGGCGGGAGGGATGGGGAATGGACTGGAGGGGGCAGGCTAGGGGCAGGGGGGCCTTCGAGGCTGCTGCATTTGCCCAAGGACCTAGGGGCAAGGCTGTGGATCAGCTCGTGGGCTCCCAAAAGTGGGACCGGCACGACTCACGTCCACATCTCCAGCCCTAGCAGGTACTAGGACATAGCAGGTGCTAAGGAATGTTGGGTGAAAGTCTCATTCCTTCTTTCCAGGCCTTGTGCGCCCAATGCGATCACCGCTGCCCGGGGATACTGTCCTAGGCCCCCCTCCTCTGGGAGCCAGCACAGGGCCGGGCAGGCCACCCAGGCAGGCGGCGTCAGGCTCCCGAGCCCGCAGGCAGTGGGGTGGTGTCTGGGGCGGGGTGTGCCCCGTTCTCTGTCCCAGGGTCACCTGCACGGAGGAGCGCGAGGCCCGGGCCTTGTTGAGCGTGCGCCGGCGCTCCCAGCGGTGGATGGAGTCCTGCACCTCCACGCTCAGCTGCCGCGTCACCGTGATCTTGTCGTAGTTCTTGATGTGCTCCAGGGCCCCGTAGGTGGTGGTCAGATAGTAGGAACCTGCGGGGACAAGAGTGCAGGCTGACTGGGCGGCCAGGGCGCACCCACAAAGGGAAGGAGCGGGGAGGGGGCGTGGCCCGCGAGGCCCCGCCCACCGCTCCAAGCTCCACCCACCGCGGCGGCAGTGGACGCACGTGCAGGATCCGCACCCGGAGCTCCAGCCCCCTGCCCGCCCCACAACCAGCCCCACAGCCTCGCGGGCCTCCTGGGGTCCAGCCCGAGCTGTCAGGCCCGGCTCATTGGCTCGCCTTGGAGATAAAACTCTTGCTAATTTTTGAAACGGTGTCTTACATTTTAAAGGATACGGGAGAAACTGATCATCACGGATGTCTTTAGGGTGGGAAAGGGATGGCTGGGAGACATGGGGGGGCAGGAGACTTCTCACTGTATACATATATATATAAGTATGTATAACAATACAGATCTTATTCTGAAAAATAAGTTTAAAAGGTGGAGAGAAAATTTTAATTATGGTTATAAGATTTTAAAGATTTAAAGTAAGTAAAAACTAGGAACCACTCATTTTGCCATTTCTTTTTACCTCCTTAAATTAATTCACATGTATTCATAATACATAATGTTTCCTAAAGTAGTTTAAGCTTTGACATACTTCAGACTGCAAAATTTAAGATAAAAGGCATGAAGTTTAAAAGACAGTGGTTTGCACAGATGCTTACACGTTCGCTCTCCTTAGTTTGTTAGGGGCTTTGGTTGAACTATTTCAGAGGCACTAGCCTTGTTGTGCCCCTCACTTTAGAGAGGAGGGTGATTTTCGTGGGTTGTCTCCCACTCACCAGACCTCTCCCCTAGCCCTTTAGGTGCCAGGGTAATGATTTTTGACATGAGGCTGAGTCTCCTACGGATCCACCAAATCCCATCATCTCTTTCTTCTTAACTAACTGAATTATACTTTTTGGGGCGGGATGAGTAACAATCAATTGAAAATGCTTACTGCCCATCCTTCCTTGCAACTCTTGGTAGTGGGCAGGAGACCCAATTCTGGCTATTTAGATATAAGTGGAAGTCCTTGGATGGAGCTTCCAGGAAAACCTTTGAAAGGAGCAGACTCCGGTGGTAAACACACAATAAAATATACAAATGATGTGTTACAGAATCATACACCTGAAACCTATATAATTTTATTAACCAATGACACCTCAATAAACTCAATTAAAATAAATAACTAGTGGCTTCTATTCATTTATTAAAAAATGAAAGAAAGAAAAGGGGCAGGCTCAGTTGATATGTCCCTTTGGGTTTTGCCCATTCCCCCTCTCCTGCCTGGAACACAGAAGTAAGCCCCGAGGCACGGCAGCTGTTTTGTGACCAGAGGGGTCAGGCACAAAGAGAAAGGTTCCCATCCTAAAGAACTCGGGAAAGAGCTGGGTCCATGCTTTCTTGATGGCAGGGCCAAAAACGGCCATCACTATCAGTCTTGTGCCCCATCACTTCCTGGCGCAAGAGACAAGCAGCCCTTCACTCAGATTTAAACCGTTGTTAGCTGCACCGGGAGGTGTTTGCAGCTTACAGTGTTCCTAACTTACATTGGATGAAGCTGCCTACATATACCTACAAATTCTACAACCAGCATGGGAAAAGGCCACACCCTGGCTGGGGTTGGTGGGGGTTATGATAAAGGGGTTTATGGCCACAGGATCACTCACCCTTTCACAGCAGTGTAGAAAAAACTTAAAAAAAAAAAAATAAGTGTGTCAAGGCCAGCATAGAACTTGGCCTGGTGTCCCTTATCAGAGAAGGGCCAGTGAACCACTCATGTGTCTCCTTTCTCAGTGAAGCGCAAAGCCTGCGTGTGCCGGGATGCCTTTCCCGGTGCCTCCAGCCCTTGCTGCCTGAGGGTCCCTGTCCTCTGGTTGCCAGGTCTCAATGGTCCTGTTTCCCACCCGTGATCATGTCTCCCTGGCTGGGATCTGAGTGCAGTGGGCTGATGGACAACACGCAGTTTGGGAGTCAGAGCAGGATCTGGGTTGGTGTCCTCTCTACGCCTGTTTCCTCACCTGCAAATCCCATAGTATTGATATGAAAAGTAACCGAGGTGAATACACCTGAGAGCAGGGCTTAGTAACGAGTCACGCACGGCGGTTAGGTGACCTGGGGGAGGTGCTCTGGAGGTTCTCACTCTCAGAAGCGGGAGGAGCCCCAAGGCCCGCAGCCCACTCCTTTTGCTCATGTCCTGATTTTCCAAGGGGCCCTCCCAGCCACTTCCCTTTGACTGGAGGCCATGCAGTGCCACCGACGACCACTAGGGGGCAGGGGACTCCTCCCACAGTGAGGTTTGGAGCCGGTGGTTCTCTTGGGGACAGTGTGCTGCCCATTGATGGGAAAAACTCAATGCCCCTCAAGATACTAGCCCAGCCCCGCTGGGCGTGGCCAGTGGTTGAGCATCGACCTAGGATCCAGGAGATCGCGGTTCGATTCCCAGTCAGGGCACATGCCCAGGCTGTGGGCTCGATCCCCAGTCGGGGCCGTGCAGGAGGCAGCCGGTCAGTGACGACTCTCCCATCACTGATGTTTCAACTCTCTCTCTCCCCCTTCCTTCCTCTCTCTGAAATCAATAAAGATATGTGTTATATATATATATATATATATATATGCCCAGCATGGCCAGCTGTCAGCCAGCACGCAGAGTGGATGTGGGTGAATGAGTCCGTGCGGGTGCTTCTGGGAGAGGCTGGATTTTGAGCTGGCTCCAGCCAGGTGCCCCATAGCTGCCTGTCCCATAGTTGTGAAGAGTGGCGGGAGCTGTAGGGAGGGGCTAGAAGGGGGCTGGGGTCCCATCATGCTAACGCTTAGGCCCTCTCCCCACCCTGATCTCCCCTGATCTCTAGCACCTGATAGATAACGCTTGCTGCAAAGAAAGTGGGGCCCCGTCACTTGTCCTTCGCCAAACTACAGCACATGGAACCAGCTAGACCATGAAAGTCCCAAAATGCATGGACTTTTTTGTCGAACACAGAACTGTGTTAATATGAACTGTGAAACAGGAGAAGGCAGAGCCCAGCTCTACTGCTCTTGCCCCCAGCTGCCTCTGCAGAACACGAGAGTGCGCAGACAGTTTGAAAACCCCAAATCCAGCCCAATACCTGCACTTTCCTGAGGCAGAGAGGTTAAGCGACTTGCCCAAGGTCTCCAGCCAATCAGAGGCAGAACCAGGACCGAAATCCAGCCTCCACGCCACTCTTTTTACCACATCATGTGTTACTTCTCCTCTTTGGTTTGAGCAACTGAAGTTCTCAAGACTGGGGCTCCCCTTGGGCCCACCTGTGTCCCAAGCATCTCTGAGCTCCGCAGAGGACAGAGGGCAGGGACTGGCCAGCAGGGGCTCTGCCTCCCCCCAGTCAGGACCCCCTTTACCTGCACTCAGGGGCATTGGCGATGGAGCACCCTGTGTGCCACCACCCAGTGAGGACATGAGGGTGAAGCCACAAAAATACTGTATCTGTCCCTTTGTCCTTGGCCCCAGGTGCTTCCAGATGGAGGTCTGACAGCTCGAAGACCTGAAGGGCGGGAGCCCTGCCCAAGCTGGAGACCCACTGGTCATCTCATACCAGGGGAACAATAGCTGTGAGGCCAGGCCTGTCCTGGGTGCTGTGACCTCCCTCCCTGGCTATCAGACTAGGAACAGAGATGAAGGGAGGCACCCATGCCAACCCTCCACCTCCTGCTGTGTGCAGTATGGTGTGAAGTTTGTCCCCTGGCCCCCACTGGTGGGGCCTGATGCTGCTGTGTGTGTGTGGGGGGGGGGCAGCGCTGCTGGGGGGGGCGATGTGTGGCAGCCTGGTGAGGCTCTGCCCGCCCAAATCTTTACTTCCAGCAAACACCCCAAGGCTTCCTTCAAAATATCACAGAGCCAGAGGTGGGGCGGGGGTCTCTGGCTACTTAAATCTGAAAAAAAAGGCAGGCTGCAGGGTATTGAGGCAGCTTTGGGTCAGAAACTGTGAACTGTTTAAGACCTTTACGTATTTATTTGTACTTTCATTTATCTCAAAAACACTGTTGCCCCAAACAGAGCAGTGCTCCTGCCTGCAGGACCTCACCTTTCCCACTGGAACCCACAGGCTTCAGGAACAGGATGAAGGACCCCAGGAGGCCATGGCAGGATTGGGGTGGGGGTGCAGGTCCACAGGAGAAAGTCGCTGGGCCAAAGATGTCCCCATCCTGTCCCTGCTCAGCCCCTGTGCCTGGTTTGGAGCCCCATTTAGGAGTCCTAGTGGCCAGGGCATGGCTGACCACTGCGGAGAGTGAGCCAGACCTTAGACCATCCGCAAAGCCTCCTGGTCTCACTCTGTCCTTTGTCTTTAAGGCTCTATAACAGCCCTGTGGGGTTGGGGCCAATCCTTAACAGGATTTGTAAATGATTGCTTCCCGGGAACATAAGCAATGCATGCCCACTGTGGAAAATTCGGAAAACAGAAAACAACGAGAAGAGTCTCTGTGCTCAATGACTCCCTTGGTCATCTGAGCCCTGTCCTGCCCCATCACTCTATCCTACCAGCCTACTTCCTGTCTTCGCAACATCCACTAGATGTGACCACATGTGAAATTATCTTGTTTGCTTATCTGTTTAATCTGTTTAAGGTCTGACAACCCCCCCATTCCTCACCCCCACTTTCCCACTGGAATGAGACTTCATGAGAAAAGGGACCAGCTATACCTGCCACAGAGGAGCTCAGTGAATATCTGTTGAAAGATTTAGCACATGGCCTTTGCCAAGGTACCTATTAAGTCTTAGTACTTTTCTTGTTGATTTATAAGAACCTTTACATATTAAGGCTCTTAACGCTGATTTGTGGGAATACTTTTCCCTGGTATCTTATTCTATTTATGGTAATTTTTGATATGTAAAAGTTTTTATCTTTAGCAGTTACATGTGTGACAGCCACCAGACCACAGCTAATATTCCTGTTGAGAGTGCTGGGTGAGCTGCTGCACTTTTCAGGGGCTAGTCCTAGGAAATGGGGTGCTCAGTGTTTGAGACAAGAAGCCTATTCTGCTTACAGTTCCCTAAACAGAGCCTCCTTGCCTCGAACTCCATTCTATTTTCCCCCGACAGGCTGGTGGGGCCTGCAGGAGACAGGTCAATGTTGTTGGAGGCCTCTTTGCAACTCCTCAGCCTTGTGGTGCTTCTGTATGCAAGTTCAAGGCTGAGGAGGCCAAGGAGGAAAGCCCATGAAGGCCTGAGGTGGAGGCCCCAGAGCATGGGGTACAGAACAAGGCATCCATTCATTTTCATGAGACTATCAGCCTCACCTGTCTTGCCCTGCATCGCAACCCAAGTGCCTGGAATGGAGCCTAGCACAGAGTAGGGGCTCACTAAGCTGCTAGATGAATAGATGAATGGGTAAGTGGATGGGTGGTTGGGTGGGTAGGTATCTGGGTAGACAGATGGGTGAATAGATGGATGGATGGGTGGGTGGGTGGATGGATGGGTGGGTGGATGGGTGAGTGGGTGGACAGATGGGTGGATGGATGGATGGCTACTGGGTAGACAATAATCACTGCTAAATAAAGTCTGGCTTCTACTGAATTCCTACACCCTCTGGAAGACAGGTTGTTCCAACTGCAGGGAAATTTTAACTACAGGGGAGAAAACAATAGATCTAGAGGTCCCAGGGCACAAGCTAAAGTTGTATGTGACAGTAAACTTCATGGCTTTACACGCTCTTCTGACCTTCCAGGAAATCACAGAGCTGTCGCCCAGAGACTGATATATGCTAAAAATGCAAACAGATGCAAAGAGGGATGGTTTATCGTAAAACCACAAAGCCCAAAGGGGCCACTTGGAGCCTGAGAGTCTTGTCTCACCCTTAGAGGCTGTTGTCTTAGAGGACAATTCGGGGGGCCCTCAATGCTGATACTAGGGCTGGCCACACCTCTGGGATTCTTGGTTGAGGGGTGGCTGAGCTAAGTGGGTGGGAGGAAGTGGTGGGAAGGAAGAAAGGGGAAGGAAAACTGAGGGTGGGTGGAGTTGGCCACACCCCTGCCATTTACTCATAGTCCCAACCTCTCCGCCCATGGACAGAGGACCTGACTCAGGGCTGGATGAACAGGGAGCTGAGAGTCCACAGGGCCTCCCCGGCCTGAGAACTGACCATCTTTCCCTGCTTAGACTCCCCGTGGACACTGCCCTCCGCTTCAGCTTTATCTTTTATGCTACTAGCAACTGTTGTTCCTTCTGTGAAGAATGCCCTTTCCCCTTCTCTATCTGCCTGGTTCCTATTCAATCTTCCATGCTTGGCTCAGGTGTCACCTCCTCCAGGAAGTCTTCCCTGACTGCACAGCCTGGGTAACATGCTCCCATACCCTCCGGGCTTCCCACCATTTCAGCATATGACAGGCAGCAGGGACATGGTCTCTTTATTGGCCCAGGTCCACCAGGACAGTGTCTGCGTCCAGCCCTGTGTTGTACCCCCAAAGCTCCGTGGAGTCTGGCATCTAGGAGGTGTTTATTGGGCTGCCCAGTACACCCCTGGAATGGCTGGGTTGGGGGTGTGCAGTGGGCCCCGGGGGCCCAGAGATGGGCCTGGGGCAATGACTCACCCTCCCCCAGCTGCAGGGCGGGGTCCATGAGCTCCATCATGTACTCCACGTTGAGGAGCATCTCCGTGAGGTTGCTGCGGGCCAGCACATACATGAGCACGGGCAGGAAGTCATCCGCTCCGTAGGGCTTCCCTGGAAGGAGGAAGGAGGCAGAGGTGGTGAGTGCGAGGCTCTCCTTGTGAGCAGTTCCCTGCCCAGGGGAAGGGGACCGTGGTTTTCTGTGTAGGGGGTGGTCACCCCTGGAAGAGGAACCTTCCTGCTTTTTTATGACTCTCAGGACAGGGGTGACCCTGGAATCAGACTTCTTGGGGTGGCTTGTGACACAGTCCAGGTTTAGGAAGAGGGAACTGAGAAAGGTGCCCTCTGCCCGGGTGGGCAAGACCCTTCCTCTTTCCCAGCTCTTCCCCTGAGTGCCGCTTGCTGCCTGCTTGACTCAAGTTTGTGTCACACTTATTCACAGACCCACCCAGAAGCAACTGACTGTCTAACGCTGATGTCTTCTGGGAAGGCGCCGTGTCCCTTTTAACCACACATCTCCCTCTCCACATGCAAAACAGAAAGCCCTCCCTTAATTAAAGCTATCAGGTCAGAAAGTCCACCATTCGACCTTCATTCCTTTGGCTGAAGAGGTGCCCTTTCCTGAAGGTTTCTTTTGAAATGCACATGCCTCAGAAAGAAAGAACTCATCCCTGCTGCTTTCATGGGAGATGTTCACAGGGCTCGGCGCCTCTTGACAGGAATAGATACCTAGGGAAGGTGGGCCTTCCCAGTTTGGCTCTGAAGACTGACCACACGGCAACGCAAAATCAAAGGTTGGACGTGCAGGGCAGGGATTCCTGCGGGGACAGAACCCTCCCGGAGCTCCTCGTTGGTCTCTTAGCAAGCCAACAAGGTGCACTGAGGACTGGGAGTGCCTGGCTGAGCAGCTCTGCCACGAGGAGTGGCCACTGGGGTCGCCCTTCTCACCTCCTCCTACCAAAGGGAGGCCAGGGCTCAGACAAAGGTCTCTGGACTCAGCTGGAGTTGCCAGGCCGGGGCATGGTCCTAGAAGGATCACCCAGGGTTGCTGCCCTTTGTATCTTGGGTAAGATTAACACCGACATCTGTATTTTGTTTTCTCAGGTGGCCTCAGTTTTTCTGCCTGTAAATGGATAGGCTGAAGGGGTTGGTAACCCACAGCACGGGAAAGCAGAGTCAGACAGACCCGCACTACGGGTCCCAGCACGCTGCTTGCTAGCTGTGTGGCCTGGGGCTAATTGCTTTACCTCTCTTAGCCTGCGTCACGTGTGAACCGACACACATAACATGCGATTCTCTGGGGTTTGGGTGAGGATCCTCTGGGGCGCTTTACAGGCGGTGCTCCCACGATGCTCCCACGGAGACACCCACTAAGGAGCCTGCTCTTACCGCGGCTCAGCACTGTGAGGCTCGCGGAGGACCTGCTCCCAGGTTCCCGGCCTCGCCCTGCACAGAAGCAGTCCGCGTGGGAGGGAGCCTTCCCACAAGCCTTTGTGAGCCTGGGACATGACTACACAGTTCCCAGGGAGAGATTATTTTGTGCCTGAAGTTGCTTTTCATGGTGAGAATTGAATTCCTAGAACCCCAGCATCCAGGAGATTCTTTCCGTGTTTGATTTCTGAGTTAGGGAACGTGGGCAGCCAGGCGGCGGGAACATGAACCGAAGCCCGTCTGCGCCTTCTGGGATTCACTCCCGCTCACGCGTGGGTTTGGGGCTGATTGAATTTTCACTCTGCCTCCGAGAACATCATCTTTTGGGTGTGTTCGATGAATAACTCACCAAGGAATACAATCAGGCAAGTTAATTTGCTTTCGAGCAGTGGTTCTCAACCAGGGTGACTTTGCCCTTGAGGGGCCACCTGACAATGTCTGGAGTCCCTTTTTGGTTGTCACAGCTACGGTGGTAGTGCTACTGGCGTCGAGGCCAGGGATGCTGCTACACACCCTACAGTGCACAGGACAGCCCCCATAATACAGAATTATTCAGCCCTAACTGCCTGTGGTACCAAGGTGAGAAACCCCGCTTGAAGGACAGTGACTTTCAGCCGAAAGGATGGTCCCGCTCGGGCCCCAGGATTGAGGACTTAGAGATGGGGGGACAGAAGCCACAGAATGTAGCTCTGTGCGGATGGAAAGTCCTTCACCCTTTTCAGTTTCTTCTTGAGAACATTGGCTGACCCTCAGGATGGGCTTTGGCGCATCTCCTTGGTTCCCACTATGTTGTGTTCAGCTACCCCACTGCAGGGGACTCCTGTGCCTGTCCCTCCACCTGCCCATGGGCACCTCTTCTCTGTCCCTCCAGTATACAGAGCATGGCACAGTGGTGGGTGAATGAACGAATGAATGATGAATGAATGAATGAATGAATGGTGGATGGACGATTACTGAGCTCCCAGCAGGCCTCAGAGTCAGTGCCTTGGCACCAGCTCAGATGAACCTCTATAGAGACTCCAGGAGTCCTTCCCATCGGCGGCCAAGACAAAGTGTGCATCATCTTTCCCTGGAAACCAGCCCTTGCTGGGACCTCCCCATTTCCATCAAGGACCCCACTTTCCCGCCAAGTCCTGAGATGCAAGGCCTGGGTGTCCTCATTTCCCTCTGGGCTCTTTGTCCCCTGTGGCCAGTCAGACCAGAGCCCAAGTGCATCTTCCTTGTGAATGCTTCCTGCACTCACCCTTTGCTTTCCTCAGCGCGCTCTCTGTCCTGTGACCTACTCTGTCTACTAACTCATCTCTTGAGAATACAGCTCTGATCATGCTACGTCTTTTCTCAAGAACCTTCAATGGCTCCCCCACTGCCTGGGGAATTAGGTCCAGATCTCTTACCCTGACGTTCAAGGCCTCCCACAATTGGGCCCGCAGACAACTGTCCAACACGACTGGTCCTCCTCTCCTCCAGCCCCACTATCTAGTCACCCGCACTCCTGCCCCTTGGTTTTTGCCACACTCACCTACCTGGCAAGCCCTCCCCTTTCCTTCCAAAGGCCTGTGCCTTCCACCTCTCACAAGCACCAACATTTGTGTGACTCTTTAAAGACGCAACGCATATTTTATAAACATTACCGCCAGTGAATTCCTAAAACAACTCTGAGCTGAGTTAGATTCATTACGCCTACTTTACAGATGAGGAAAGTGAGTCTCAGAGAAGTTAAGCTTCTTGCCTAAGGTCACACGGCTAGGGTGTGGTGAATTAAGACTTGAGTCTAGTTTTTTTTTATAGTCACAATCCCATGTTCCTGCTACTTCAACACGCTTCCTTCAAGTTCCACCTCCTCCATGAAGCTCTCCTGGATTACCCCAGCTACTGTGCTGACTCTATACTCTACTCTGCAACTTCCAACCCAGAACAACATCCTGCCTCCATCGCCCCCCACATAACATTCCACTGTGCTGAACTGTGGCCATTCTCCGAACTCCACTGGCACTTTCACTCCTCTATGCCTTCGCATGCACCGTTCCCTCTGCCTGGGGCACCCTTCCTGCCTTTCCTTTACTAACTTCTCATTCTCTCCCACATCCTCAAGCAGCTGGATGGTTCCTGCCCCAACTCCCATATGCTTTGCTATTTCAGAGCCTGCCCTTTACCTAGGACTGTGTGCTCCTAAGAGAAAGTAGAGAAGCTGTGTGAGCTTGGGCAAGTCGCTTAACCACTCTGGGCCTCCGCCCCATCCCCAGTCCCTTTCCAGTCCCTACCACAGCGCTTGGGACATAGGACACAGACAGTGGACCAAATTGAGGCTCGTGTGTTCCCACTGGATGCTACTCTGTCCTGCCCGGGGCTGGGGCCATGGTCAAGGATACTAGTATCTGCTGTGGGCCTTAGACCATGATATGTTGGGAAATGCTTAACAACTGCTTCTCTGGAGAAAAAAATTGTTTTGATTTATAGTTTGCCAATTTCCATGGAATAAATATTTCCACAATGGTCCATTTCAGCTTCTACCAACATAAACAGGGAGTGGGGGAGAGACATTATACATTTAGCTTTCATGAGCTGGTACAAGCTGACTTAAGACATCAGTGGCCTCAGGTCCATCAAATCCAGCTTCACTGTGAGGAAATTGAGGCTCAGAAATGGGAGAAATATGCTCCAAGCCCCACAGCTGCTTGGTGGTAGAGCTGGGACTAGAATCTGGGCCTCTCTGCCCCATGTGGGTAAGAGACACCCACACAGGCTCCCAAACCTGATAGCTGCTCGCAGACACAAGCTTCAAGCAACACTTACATGCACCAGCTCCCCGCTGATATCCCAGGGTTAGTCAGGGCTTCATTCCCTTCCCGGGAGGCCAGGAGCGGGGCCCTGCTCAGCCCTGTGCACAGCTTCAAAAAAATTCTCCTGTGATTGGAATATCTGTCTTTTATGAGTCAGAGGACACGTCCATCTAGCTCTGCCTCTGAAGGCTCCACTGGGCTGCAGCCTGCATTTCTGAGTGATTTTGGCTTCCCACCTGTAGGTGGGGGGAGCCGATCACAGTTTAAAGAGCTGCTTTGGGGCGTTATGGTGTTTCACTGGCTGCGAGTTTAGGAGGAGGAGAATCTGATGAAAATGAGCTGAAGCGTAGTCACCTGGGTCACCCAGGCTGAGGGACACTGGGTTAAAAGGCCCCCAACTCTGTCACCTAACTAGCTGAGCGATCTGGGGCCACTCACGCTGAGCCTCCGTTTTCTCATCTGAAAACTGGGGGTAATAATAAAACTCTCTGGGTCTATTATTTAGGGCCATTGTGAGCATCAAATGACTAGCTGGACTTTAAATAAGGTTTTCTCTTCTCAGAAGCATAATCTAAAAGAAGAGTTGGCAATTTTTTTCCTGTAAAGGGCCAGATTAGTAAATATTTTTAGTTCCAGAGACCACATGTTTTTATCCTAACTGTTCAACCCAGCCGTTGTAACAAAAGCAGCCCCAGACATTGTGGAACTGAGTGGCTGTGGCCATTGCAGGTGGGGGGCCAGAGCAGGCCTGTGGGCCTCTGATCGAGAGGAAGGGTCTGTTGTCTTAGACTGTCCCTCTCGATTTGTTGACTGGGCTCTTACTGATGCAACCATCCTGGGGCAGCACAAGGCTCACAGCTGTGATCTGCTCTTGCCCTGACTTTCCCCACGATTCCCACTTAA